ATATTACTCATTTTAAATGATATTTTAGATGCTTATTATTTATTTTACTAATTACTTAGTAATCGGTAAGTTGTTTTTAGAGGATAGTAGACCAATTCGTTTTAGCTAGTTGATATTATATACAACATATCAGCTAATCAATATTAGACGATAGTTTACTGTTTAATATATCATTGACTGATATGATCATTATATGATTCGATTTTATATTTATAAATTTATCGTTTTCAATAAAATTTTAAAAATTAAAATAAAATATTAATATATTAACATTTAATTATCCCTTTTTTGATTTTTTCTTTGTTTTACTTTCACCACCCTTTTCTCCTTTTCTCTTCCTACTTTCACTCTCCCTACTTCTACCCTCACTTTCACTCTCCCTTCTTTTACTCTTACTTTCATTATTATCACTCTCACTAGCATCGCCACTAATTCTTGTTATATTTGACTCATCATCAGATTTTGGTAAAGAGATTTCCATTGGGAGGTCTCTACTGCCTCTTTTATGTTTCTGCTGTTTGTTTATCTGTTGGTGCTTTTTTTGATACAGTTGTAGCTTTTTTTGCCATTGTTGTTTTAGTTGGTATTTTTGCTGCTATTTTTGGTATTGCTACAGATGTTGTTGTTGTTTCTGTTGTTGTTTCTACTGGTTTTGCTGCTGGTACTGCCGTTCCTTTGTCAGCAGATTGAATAGTTTCAGTAGAGCTAGGTAGGGGCGATTCTTCTTCTTCTTCTTCTTCTTCTTTTTCTTCTTTGTCTTCTTCATTCTTTCTTTTTCTCCTTGTATATAATACGTTTCTATCATAATTACCTCTTTTCCTTTTAATTCCCACACGAAGTATCTGAGTACCTGAACCTCTGCTTGCATGACTTTGCTTGGCATCTGAATCTCTGCTTTCAATACTTTACTTGGCACTTGCAACTCTGCTTTCAAGTCTTTGCTCGACACTAATTTCCGTATGACTTTGCTTGGTACTAATTTCTGTACGACTTTGCTCGGCACCCGAAACTCTGCTCTCACTATGTTTTCGTTCACTCCTGCTTTTTTTCTTACTTTTCTTATCTTTACGTGGATCTTCATCTCCAGTGTCAAAGTCTGCATCAAATTCATAATCTGAAAGGTAGTATCTAGTAATAGCTTCATTGGATAGTGCCCATCTTGGGCAATCTGCTGGTGGTTCACCTTTTCTATTCACATCCCCCAAATAATTGCGCTCGTGCATCTTGGTATTTATGGGCTGCAGTTGTTTCACAAACAGGTCTATATGCTTATGTAAAAGCTGTTTTAACTAAATAATATTATGCTGATAGGCTTATTAATTTAACATTTATATATAAATAAATAAAAAATATATATATATATATACATTAGGTCCTTGCCACCATTTATCGATACAAACTAACTTTAACTCTAGTTCTAACCTACTTTAATGATATTGACCAGAATTACTTTGTCTGTAAAATGAGCTTCGGTGAAATAAACTTTCGGTGAAATGAACTTGTCGGTAAGTAATTGTCAGTTAAATGTGATGTCTACGAAGTGATTGTTGGTGAGTTGATGGGATCCCGTAAAATCTACGTTCACAAAAAATCGTGGAAAAGACGAAACCTAGGACTAGTGTTCCGAGTTGGTAAAAATTTGCCAATCGATTAGTTGCCAACTATAGTTGGCAACTAATCGATTTTCATATCATGTGATTAAATTTGTTGATTAGCCAGTTAGATTAAAGAAATCAACACGGATTATCCCGAACAGACGGAATATTTCGGAATAGAACTAGTTGAAGATTTAATCAATTAGTTGTTTTAAAATTTTTCTAATCGATTAGTTGGAAAGTTCAACTAGTTGATTTTTCTACTAACGATTTGGATCACTAGTGTGGGTATACAATATGGACAGCGGCATTCATTGCTGGATCTCCATCTGTAAACAGCACAGTAGGTGGGAGATTATTCATTGATTCTAATATACAATGCAAAATCCATTCATAATCGGCTTGTGTTTCATATTTTGTTAGTGCTTGTGCAAGCACTCTTGATTTGAAATTGTTGTCAATTCCAATGAATAGGCTAAGAGCCATTTCATATCGATTTGTTTTTGCCATATTGTCATGTATTATTACATCATGAAATTTAGGCCATAGTTCGTTATGTTGTTCACTATTCATCCAAAAAATTCCTGTTAATTCATTAGAACTTCCTTCTATATGTGGAATAACCACATAACCACAATTCTGATCTTTCTGATTCATAAGATATAACAGCATTGTAGCTGCACCTGATTTGTCATAAATCCTTACACCTCTAAACTTACTAATAGCATTATACAAATTTTTTTTCTTAATATGTTGATCTGGAAACTCTTTTACTAAAAAATCATATTGTTGACCAGCATTTAGGTGATCAACAACTGTATAGTTCTCAATTCTGTCTAAGATAGACTGTGGAAGTTGTAAATTTTTTGGTGCTAATCCTATAATTTTCAAATCACACAAATGATTGTGTTCATCTACTATACTAGTAATAGTTATTAATTTGCATGTTTTCCTAAATAGAAATGAACTAACTATTGACAGTCTGTCTTACTAGAAGTATCATCATGGTGTATACTAATGTCCTTTACTTTTTTTTCTTTATTTACACCAGATTTCCAACAGGCATAATCATGATGTTAAACAATAGTTTTATCAACTGCATCAAGATCCTTATGGAACTTTATAGCTACAAAACCATGTTGCTTTGAATATATATCGACTACACATTGTATAGCATCCCAATTATCAAAAAGGTCCTCTACATTTAACTTTAACTTAGTTGAATTATTAATCATCTGGTTGTTATTATTAGATTCAAAATTAGCAAAATGAGGCAAAAATTCTTCAACTCCAGAACTATTAGACCCAAAACTCAGATTACTAGATAAAGTATTATTAATCTCAGAATTCATAGCACTAGGTGAAGCATAATTAGCCTCAGAATTCATAGCATTGTTAATCTCAGAATTTATAGTACCAGTCAAAGTATCATTAATTTTGGAATTCATAGCACCAGATGAAGCATCATTAACCTCAGAATTCATAGCACTAGATAAAACTTCTTGTAACTCAGAATTTATAGTACTAGACAAAACTTCTTGAAGCCCAGAGCTTAAACTAGAAGAAACATTTTGAGACCCAGAACTCAAACTAGAAAAACCATCTTGAAACCCGGAACTCATAATACCAGTTGAAACATCTTTAGAAGCACAAAAAGTCAATACTAGACCAAGTACTAGGTGAAATGTCATTAAGCCCAAAATATATAGCACTAGGCAAAGTATTCCCAGACTCAAAATCCAAAAAATCAGGCAACTTTGAACTTATTAAACTTGCAAAATCAACCAACTCAAAATTTATATAACCAGGTAACTCCAAGCTCACAGAGCTAGAAAACTCTAAATTTATAAGACCAGATATGCCAGAACAAACAGAAGGCAGTGCAAAATGCTCCAAACCAGAATTAGACAACAACCCCAAACTTGCATAGCCAGATAACTCCAAGCTCACAGAGGTAGAAAACTCTAAATTTGTAAGACCAGACAAGCTAGAATAAACAAAAGGTGGTGCAAAATGCTTAGAACCAGAACTAGACAATTCGAATTTTTCAGAACTAGACATAATATTGTTAAATTCAGAACAGTACAATTACTCAAAAAATAAGTTAAATGTTAAATTTTATTGAGGTTCTATCAACTAACAGTAAAAATAGACAACATATATTAAACTATAATGAGAGACAAAGGTAAGTTATGACAATCAACATCATTAAATCACTAATGTCATTAAAGTGGATATAATAAAGAGCAATTTTTTTATTGTTAGATATTTTTATACTTATCTTATTTAACACATGATTATTAGAGTTAGTTATACAACACTAGTGATTATCACTAGTGAAGTTAGTTGTACAACACTGGTGATGGTCACCACTGGTGATAAGTAGTAATTTTATTTTTGAAAACTAATAATATAAACAAAGAATATAATTATAAAATAAAGAGTATAATTATTAAAACAAGAGTTATACAAAAAGTTTAATACTGTATAAAGAGTATAATTTTATTTAAAAAAAGTCTATTAATTATTAACTCTTTCTAATGATCACTTAGTCCAAAATTTTCACAAAAGAAAAACACAAATTTTGTTGAAGAGTCATGGCCTAATGTAGTAGTTTGTCTAGAGGTCAACATAGCTCTTGAAACTCCTCTAAAAGTAACATTCAGCATGCAAGCCAAGAGCGTTATTATACAAGATAACTGGCAAGTAGTGTTCTTATATAAAAAATCTTGGTAAAGAAGAAGACTCTTTAGACACTCTTCTTTCTCCATTGATGAAGCTCTTAGACCATACTTCTTTGAAGACACTGGGAAACAATAAAATATGCTATTATTCTTATCAAGCAACACTCTTTTTACTTGGTCAAGTGGTACCTTATTAGTCTCTCTTATTCTTCTATTGGTCTTCTAAAAAATTTTAAGAAAAAGTGGAGATTAGCTTATCTCTTCCAAAAGATTAGCATTGTTTACTTCTCAAATTCAGACAGGTAGCAGAATGCAATCATGTGTTTGTTTATAGACAAATATGGTGTTTTTAATGGAATTTAGCTTGGAAACTCTAATTATAGCAGCAGGTGGCTTAAAACATGGGTCCTCAGACAACAGTAGCACCTGGCTCAATATACAAATTAGGATAGGCAATAAAGCTATTCAGAGTTGGTAAGAAGGTCAGAAAGTAAATTTAACATTAAGGTGAAGCTTTATAGTAGAGATATGAGGATGAGTTAATAGAAAAGAGACAAATTGTTTTTAGTGAAATTTTTTTAATTTTTAAATTAAAATATCTCAACAACTATTTAATTAAATTTGCTAAAAATTTTTTATTTTAATCTTGAAATTATATAGAGTTAAAATAAAAAAATTTTTATTAAATTTGATAAGATTATTGCTAAGATATTTAAGCTTAAAGTCAAGAAAACTTTTATTTAGAAAAAATTTGTCACTTTTCTATTAACTCCCCTCTATATACAAATATTGTATTTGTTACATAATTTTTATTAGACATACATGAGTTATAATAGTGCCTTCAGGGTTTTGGATTTTTATTATATTTTTTCTTTTTTACAATCAGTGTTTTTTTTTCTTTTCTGTTTTTTTTTTTGATTATTTTTGTTACTCATTGTTGGAAAATTTCACCTTTTTGTCTTGTGCTTCTTAAGAAGAAGGAAAAATTAGAAGGGAAAAAAAAAATCTTAATATGGCATACAACAATCTGTCAAATGATCAAGGAGGGTATCCTTTGTTAATACAAAATCTGAAGCAAGTTTAAGATCCTACTGTGAGACTAATAGTTGTTATAGCAGGTCATATTGAGCTTCGGCTTGGTAAGTTTTTATTAGAAATAGAGCATTCCACTATCCTAGGTTGTTATTTGTATAATAATTTTATAGTAGTTTATAAAATAAATAGAAGCAGGATCACTGAATAAAAAAAAAAAGTTTATTAATTATATTGGCATTTCAATAATTCTTTTGAATATTTAGATTATATATAAATCTTGTTTATACTTCTTTCTCTTATCCTATTTTTATTTATCTTAATCTATATTTTTTATACACTTATATATTCTCTTAGTCTTTATATTTCTCTTTCTACTTCATGAACATATACCCTTGTTTATAATATATATTTTACTATTTATTATTCTTTTTTATTATTATAGATTATAAGAAAAAAGATTTAATTGTTAAAAAAATAACTAAAAAAGCTAATAGTCTCAAGTATACAAGGAACTGCCACACTAAATATTGCTTTTACAATATTTGTAAAGACACTCTTGTAGATCCAAAAACCAAAAAATCTCATAGCTAATAGAGATACTAAAGTAAGAAATTTACTTAATATAAGTAAATCTTCAACAACTATAAGTATAAAAAACCTTCTGAAAATTCTATTTTCAGAAATAGAATTTCCAGTTATGGAAATTCCAAATAGCTCTATGCAATTTAATACTGGTAGTTCCAAAAATGAATCGGTTATTTTTTCATATAAAAAAGAATATAATTTTATTACTAAAGCACAGTTCAAAAAAGAAAAAAAATCTGGTAATGAGAAAAAAGAAGTACCTATTACGAAATTAATTAAAACTTTGTTTTCAGACAATAAAAATAATGAGGCTGTTCTTAGTAAAGAAGAAAAAGAAGAAGAAAATAATAAAATTAATTTTAATGCTTCTAATTTATATTAAGAAAATAATCATCTAACTAAACCTGCAGATACAACTAATAATTTTATATAGATCATTTTTTGGGCTCTGAAGTATCAAACAAGGTGTAAGTTATTCAATATACAACTTAGTTTTTTAATCAGTACCTCTATCTCTTTTATAATGAAAATACATATGCTATCTTCACTATATTTTTAAAAATAGCACACAAAGCTTTTAGAATTTGTATTTATATAATCAAGTACATGACATGTAAAAAATGTTGTAAATTATATAGCATTGCCAATAAGTTAACTGACAAGTCTAATTTGTTATCCAAAATAAGCTATTGCACTTTTTAAGACTTTCCAAACTACCCAATGGCTAATAAAAAACTATTTGTACTTTACTTATAGCAAAAAAAGTTCCAATAACCAGTGGAGTTATATTTAAACTAATCTTAATTTTTTGTATTATATAATAGAAAGAGGTTTGAAGTAAATTGTAAAAAATAGGTAAATAGGCTTGTTGACCCTAGTATAGTTATCGATATCTATGATGGTATAATCTGGAAAACTTTTCAGATATACTAATTTAACCAACAAAAAATTATATATAGTCAACTATCTATATAATGAATTTTTGTAAAATTCTTTTTACAATTATTTGTATAATAGATTTATAATAAAATTTAAAATTTAAATCCATTATATGTAATTTATATAGATATTTATTATCCCTTAAACCGTAAAGCGTACATATTTGTACGCTAAAATTTTTAAATACTCATTGCTTAAAATTTTATTA